CGGACAAGAACCAGTAGGAAGGTGGGGCGGGGGGGGAAAAGGCAAGTGGGGTCGGACCCGAACCATAGAGTCAAGGTGAGAGCCAAAGCAGCAGGAAGGGTGAAGAGGCAGGGTTGGACCCAAAGCAGGCGGGGAGGGAAGAGGGGAGCAGGGTCAAACCCAAACAGGGGGGTGGGGGCATGCAAAGTCAGAACCAAAGGTGGGTGGGAAACAGGGTCAGACCCAAAGTGGGGCAGGGAAAGCTGGTTCATACCCAAAAGGGGGAGTAGCGGGGCCAGGGTTGGAGTCGTACTATAGGGGGTGGTGTTGGACCAGAAGTGGGGTAGGTGGGGAGTGGGTCTGGACCCAAAGCAGGAGTGGGGTTGAGGGGAGGGTCGGGTCAGACCTGAATGGGGGGGGGCTGAAGGTCTGTGTTCCTGACCCTATGATGAGAGGCTAAGAGCTATGGGAGTCTTCAGCCTGGAAATGCACAGGCTCAGGGGTGATCTGGTGGCCACCTATAAGTTTCTCAGGGGCGCTCGGCAGGATCGGTGGGAATCACCAGAGCGCCCCAAGGGATGACAAGGTCAAATGGTCACAAACTCCTCCATGACCATTTCAGGCGGGACATAAGGAAGAACTTCTTTACTGTCCGAGCCCCCAGGTTTGGAATAGACTGGTGCTGGAGGTGGTTCAAGCACCTATTTTGAACACCTTCAAGAGACAAGTGGACGTTTATCTTGCTGGGATCCTATGATCCCTGGTGACTTCCTGCCCCTGGGGCAGGGGGCTGGACTCGATGATAGTTTGAATGACTGTGTCTGCCAGTTTCCTTAAGGTAAAATTTCAGAAGTTAGAGTGCGATAAAATCCAGATTCAGATAAACTGCAAACACACAGTTCAACAGATTGCTATTATGACCCCGTGGAAATGCTAGCCATGTTTGTGTTTGCTTCATGTTTCACTTGGTTTCCAGCAGAGGTGGTTCCCTGTAGGGTTTAATGGAAACTGACCTGATATATGAATTGCTGATTCCTTCTCCTTGTCGAGGAGGCTGTTCCTGATCCAACAGGACAAGTTCGGGTTTGAATGTCCGTTTATGACAACAGAAATTTCTGTTTCAAACAGACCATTCACCTTTGGGGACTTAATTTCAGAAAGCAATGGTATATGATGCCCCTGGGAATTTCTCCACAGCACCTGGGGCTCTGGGTACCATTCAGCAGATCGACACGTCACACGGATCCCTCCCTTGTGGTAATCCTCCACAGAGATGATAGGATTAGAGCCTAAAGCTAGAAAAGTAAGAAATTATATTTCTTAAACCTGTGAGTCAATTTAGCAAAAGTCCCAAAAGCCTGTTTCTGAGTAACCACAGAATGAACCTTTGCAGACATGATATCGAGCAAAGGAAAGAAAGCAAATGAAGCTGAAGCAGATCAGATTAAACAGAGCAGAAGGGTTTAAAGCAGGTAATCCAAATATATTATTATATATATTATCCGGTTCCAGGACAGAGTCCTGGAACTGGTACTGTTCAATGTCTTCATTAGTGGAAGCACTCTGTCCATGCTTGCAGATAACACCAAACTATGGGGTGAGGTACACAAACTGGAGGGCAGGGAGCAAATCCAGGTGGGTTTGGAGAGGCTGGGGAAGTGGGCAGAACAGAATAGGATGCAGTTTAACAAAGACAAGTGCCGTGTGTTGCACCTAGGGAGGAAGAATCATCAACACTCCTAGACTGGGAGGTGCCATTCTCGGTAGCACAGCAGCGGAAAGGGATTTCGGAGTCATAGTCAACTCCAAAATGAACAAGTCACCAACACAATGAAGCAATAAGTAACAGGGCTGTGCAAAATTTCCCCAGCTGTTTCGTTTTGACACGATTTCAACTCATTTTGAGGTTGAAACAGCAAAATCGAAAGGAAACGAAGGGCTTCAAAACAGCCTTGAAACAAAATAAGGCTAGTCAAAAAGTGTTGAAAGTCCAAATGTTTCAACCATAGCGCTTCATCCCTGGCGCAAGATCAGTCAGGGGATAGGAAGTCAGCCCAGCTGGGCTGAGTCCCTGTCCCCATCCGAGCTAGCGAAACATGGGAACAAAGTCAAAACAATAAGGCTGTTGGAACAGCTGTTTCAAATTGAACTGAAATTTGATATGAAATGCTGTTCTGTCGAAACCTTGAAACGGAATGATGCCATTTCGCCCAGCCCTAAGAAGTAAAGCTAACCACACTAACCCAGAGTTTTGGGTGTCTAGGGCTCACACCAAGGCTAAAGTCCTTGACTTCAGAAGGGCCAACTTCAATGAGCTTAGGAGACTAGTGGGGGAGGCACTGAGGGCCCAAAAGGTAGAGGAGCTGGAAGCCTACGAGGGATGGTCGTACCTTAAGAGGACGATCGTCCAGGCCCAAAGGGTAACAGTCCCTGAGGGAAGCAAGGGGGGTAAGAGTGCTCAGGAACCCCCTTGGCTCAGCAAGGGCATTCAGCAATGCCTGAGGACTAAAAGGGGGCGTACAACCAGTGGAAGGGAGGAGCTATCACCAAGGAGGAGTACTCCTCCTCTGCTCAGGAGTGTAGGAGGGCTCTTAGGAAGGCCAAGGCAGAGATGGCACTCAGGCTAGCGTCCAGGATTAAGGACAACAAAAAGTCCTTTTTCAAGTACATTGGGAGCAAGAAGAGGGCACCAGGCAATGTAGGGCCCCTGCAAGACACAAATGGTAATCTGGTGGCCACACCAGACAAGAAAGCTGATATTTTTAACAGTTTCTTTGCCTCTGTTTTCCTGAACAGGGACCGGGATATCCCACCTACCAGAGGTAGGGACAATCTTGGGGATAGCTCTGTCAGGCCTTCAGTCAGTGCAGATGTAGTTTGGGATCTTCTGGAAGGGCTAGACATTTTTAAACCTGCAGGTCCAGATGCCCTTCTCCTAAGGGTGTTGAGGGAGCTGGCGGGGGTCATCGGGGAGCCCTTGGCCCGGCTGTATGAGCATTCGTGGTCATCTGGCCAGGTGCCGGGGGATTG